CAGTGTACGTAGGTAATGTATTACATAAGAGCGCAACGGTAAACTGTGCTAAACTGTGCTAAACAGTGTTTACGCTTTGCTTCATACCTGAAGCCCTAAAAAACTGCAAGGCTGTGTCTTAACATGAGAGACATGCTGTGGCATGTAGACACATTTTTACATCATCGCCTGAAGGAAGATAGTCGAGCGTTTGCTGTGAACACAACAGAAAATATTTCACTGTGGAGTTGAGTTTGTCTTGTTTTATGTCTGCTGTCCGTAGCAGCTGTTCTCAACAGAGTCGACTCATTATATTCCTAGCTGGGCATTCATTTCCTACAGGAATATCCTTTATAACCTATTGGTACACCACAATAAAAACCTCCAGGTGTGGTCATTTATTTTCAGTTCTGATATTAATGCAAAAAACAGAAAGGTAAAATAAAGCTTGGGTAGTGTGAAAAACAACACATAGAGCAAAACCATCATACATGAACAAGATAATTCCTGAAATCACAATTGCTTGCACTGATCAAGCAATACTTTTCAAAAATTAGTTCCTCTTGAGAATTGAATAGATTTAGAGCTTTGAACAACACTCTTTGATCCACAGTGGAAAATCTCATCTGCTGCCATGGAAACACAGAGAAAAGTAGAAGTTCAGTCTTAAACCTGACTGTTTTTTTTTTTGTGAGCAGCAGAAACACAGAAACAAGTCTCACCATACAGCTGAAATTCTGTCACTTCCTCCTGAATGTAAAAATAAAACTTATAGGAACAGGCTTGTTTCACTATTTTAGCATTTCCTCTTAAAAAGACAATGGGACCTAGGTGATAATTCTCTAAGTGATACAAATAAGGGGTGTTCATTATTTGTGTTGTTTTTGTGTTACATTGGTTTTAATATTATATATTCACTGAAAAATATTTTTTAAAGTAAAAGCTAAGTGCTTTGCCTAAATTCCAAAAATTAAACCAGTCCACTGTTCAGACAAGTAAAATGATTTCATGGGGTTTGCTTTATTTCCCTTGTGATGTCTCATGGTGTGATTATTCCCATGCCATTGTTTCCAGGTTCATCAGCCTATATAGACTTACAAAGGACAGCAGCATTTAAGGACAGCGTCTCTTAAAATGTATCAAAGGAATCATTTGAGATAAATGTGTGCATCAGTTACACACAAAAATAAAGTCATTCAACTCTGACTGCACTGATAATGGAATTGGCTGCTTAGTTGTAAAATAAGCATAAATACAACATATTTGTCTGAAAGTAGACTTCACAGTTCATAATAAAATAGGAAAAAAAACGTGATCTTTATAAAACTGATTTTTTTTTTTACTTTCATGATACTATGTTTTCCAGCTATATGAGACAAGGGCAAGATGTGCTTATTTGTTGTGTATTCTGTACAATCCTGCATATCTTTTGTCGAGTTATTCATATCCACTCAGTCCAACAGTACAATACAGTCGTTGGCACTGTACAATACAGCTACTGGAGCAGGAACACTGTCAGAGTGGTCTCATCCTCCTAGCACATTATGTACAGTATGCAGCTATAAGCAGTCTCAGGGATGTCTGTGTTCTTTGTCAGTTACCCCTGAGTCACAGCCATTTCAGAGGGTGCCCATCACAACAGTGGCAGATGGCAGTTTGGTCTCTTACGCCAAGTTCAACTCAATCAGCCATTTCATGTCACTTGCATTCCTTTTCAAAGACTTCGTCAGGTCTCAACTTGTCAGACACCATCATGGAAACCAGAACCATAAAGGCAGAATTAGTAAAAATATAGAAAGACTTAGATTTTTATCGCATAAATATGGTGCTTTCGTTATTAAAGGGACACATTTTGTATTTTTCCAACATTCGATCTAGTGCTAAACCCTTACAATTTATCGCTATAAAGTACTTTTGTCTGTCTAAGAAAGTTTAAAAAAAGAAAAACATGAAACAGTCCAGTGACAGAGTATTGTCTTGAAATCCATAAATTCTATATGGTCTGTCTCACAGTACACACTATTATAGGACACGGAGTTCTTGTCAGACCAGACTGCACATACAGATGGTAGATGGTGAAGAGGAGGGCCTGACATCACAAATGTCTACATGAGCTCCTCAAAAACAGCAAATACAAAATAAACTAACATGTCCTGTTCCCTTATTAAAAACAAATGTAGCCTGAATATGGCCTTATGGGAAAGAGGATGAACTTGTGCCAATCCCCCAGCAAAGCCTATTGTTGTTTCAGCACAGCTGTTATGGTCTGTAGACACATTGCATTATGTAACCACTTTCCAAACATAAGAGACAACTGATGTGTGTAAACAGCATAATTAGTTCCTTTGTTTTAGTTCAGTTAATTTGAAGAAAAAAACAAAACAAAAAAAACAACCTTTACATGTTTTGGAGGTGACAATCTCCAAATACACCTGCCGCACCAGTACTGTGGTTTAACACATTAAACACCGTCACCATGATTAAGGGTTCTTGAATATGGTTTCCAGCTAAATGTAGAATTTGTTAGATCCTAAAGCTTTCTTTTTCATGTGCACCTCAAGGCGCAGCAGCTTCATTTCAAACACCCATTTCGCACCCATAAACTCCTCTTGCAAGGTAGAGATAAGTAACTGGACCTACAAGTTTAGAGTTTTGCATCTGCAGGTGTAAATAACTGGACAGTTTCAATTGCATTTCACAAAATAGAGAGCCATGGCTCTTATTCCAAACTGGCATTTTAAAGGAACTAGTCCATCAGCTAGTGGCTTTGGATGCGTTATTGCATACTTTAACACAGGGGCCTAGTGCAGCTGCAAGGTAGAAAAACCAAAAAAAGTGAACTATGTAGGACTAGTCTTGAGTACAATTGTGGCAGATAGGGCAGCAATGTTTTGCACAACACCTTTACAGACCACAAGGTTGAATAACTGGCTTTTTTGGATGTTGACGAAGGCTTCCGAAAAGTTCTGCATTGTAAAGTTGTGTTTTTGAAGCCCACTGGGATGACATACAATTTCTGCAGTGCTTAAGATGCACAATTAAATAAAAAAAAATAAAATAAAAGAGACAGAGCCAATATATTACCAGCTTCTGTTGGACCAGTGCTCAAAAGGAACCGGCTGATCAAGCTTTAGTTCCAACTGTTGGTACAGATTCAGTTTAGCTAGCAGACAAGCTGAAACGCCTATAGAGAGCTTCCATCCAGTCAAACCTGCTCAGGATAAAAGGGCATTCAATGTTAGCTCCCAAGGCTGAGCCCCCAAAAACCAAAACACCACATGCACGTGAAATTTACATTTTTTTTTATTGTGCATATTAAACAAATCTTGCGCATTTCAGGTTTTACAACAGCTTGCTTGTGAGCATTACAGGTGACTGGAGTAGGGCTACAAATTGCCAAGTGCAGATTTGTCAGTTGTTTCCCCCCTGCTCATTGATGCACACAGATGACCAGATCCTAAAGGTGACATAAAGCCACACTGCCATACTGTACAGAGGGTCATCAAGCCAAGTGAATAGTGTGAGTTGTACAGCCATTTCTCAAGTAGGTTATGAAACTTGAAATGCATTTTGATAGAGACGAAGCTTGTCAAATGTACAGCACGTAGGAGGCCTGGTCTTCATGATGACTCTGCCTTCTCCTGTTCGATGACTGCAACAGGAGGTAGAAGGTTAGGGTCTCAGAGTTACAGCATAGCAGACATGCTCTGGATTAAAGTCAGACGGTGTAGTACCTACCTTCTTTGGTTGGCAGTGGGTTTTTCTCTTGAGTCTCGGTCTTCTTCAGCTTGGTCTTGTCAAAGGTTGTAACCTCAGTGACGTCAGGCTTGTCAGACATGTTTGCAGAAGGTTCTAAAACAAAGAGACCCTTGTTATTAGGCTAATCAGCACACCCGAGCATGTGTAGACAGACAGTTACATTTCAAGGCATTGAGAATTTGAATACCGCCCCCCGGACTCATACAGTCGCTATTAAGCGATCTCGATGCACACAACACTTCCAAGTACGGATGCTGCTACGCGGAATGCACTCCACAGTGTACTTTAATTTTAACAGGCGTTCTACAAATTCGTGTTTAAAATTAAAAAACAAAAAACAAACAAACCACAAAGCAGTAAAGTTATGCTCATAAATTCCGCAGCTTCGGTCATTTACACTTTTACTTTGTTAAACGTCATGATGTAGCAATTGAGCCAAGAAACTGAAACCAGAGGAAATAAGGGCACATCAAGCTAAATTTAAGCGCCAGTCAACTTTAACAAGAAACAGGGGAGAGACACAAAAAAGGGAACTTACTTGAGCACGACTCACAGAAATCACAGGATGCGCGTCCGGTTGTTGCAGGAGCAGAGTGCTAACGTCAGCCTCAATCACACAATAAATACAATACCGTATGCAAATGAGCCTCTGACGTCACGACAAGGCGGCTTCGATACAAACGATAAAAAAAGAAAAAGTGAACATTTTTTAATCTTATATATAGTCTTGAAAACAAACGCTGATATCCCGAAATCAAAGTAATGTCAAAAGTAAAAAAACAAACAAACAAACAAACACCTCAGAACATTCATTCAAATCGAGTGGCCATTAGCAACAGCTGTGTGCCGTTAGCTTAATTAACGTCGTTTATTGATTTTCTCCGAACTCTACAAAAGGTGTCTCATCACTACAGCGCCTTGTTTGCTCTTGTAAGGAAAAATAAATGTAGCAGTTAGTGGAACAATGACTTGAGGGTTTATTTGCAAACGGCACTCCCATTAAAACTGAATCAGTGGTGACACCGTATGGACAAAGTAGGTACTAACCAAACGTGGTGTAGCAGATTCCCTGGCTTCAAGAATTTGTATTTTTGTTGTTGTTTTTTCCCCCTAAACAGTAATTACTAAGTCCTAAAATGTCAGTAAAAACCTAAATGAAAGAGTAGGCTGTGCATAAGTTCAACTTGTAACCCATAAAATATTTATTTTCTTATACAAAAACCAGATGGTAGTCTGCCAAAATTTACATCCACAAAATGGAACACATTTTGAAAAGGCTTTATTTGATAATATACAGCACATAACAGTTTCACATTTACAAATATTCGGTAGGCTGTGCTCTCTCAGCAATTGTTAGCAAATAAGTTTTGTAGTTTCTTTGTTTATAAGTCTCAGGCAAACGAGAGAAGGTTTAAAAGAACCAAGCAAGCAATGATGCATGAATCAATAGTTTTAAAACAAGACCTTCTTCACTTGGTGGTGAAGTATTTTGAATAGGTCTTGTTGTACATCACTTGATTATCTACTCTTATGACACTTTGCAGGTTTTGCCAAAACCAGGGCTCTGCGGCTGCTGTTCGCGGCCACTCTACAACACTGCTCTCGCACAGTCGCTTCCTCAAGCGCAGAAAGTGAGAATGCTGCAGGACAGGCTCCAGCATTAGCAGTACTATCACATCCACATTTTCATCCAGCAGTCTTTGGTGGGCCAGATACATTGCTAGCTTGAAAGCACCGGTCTTAACGTAGCCCTTTGTTAAGACAAACAGAGTCTTGCGACTGTACTGGATGCTCTGGGTGAGGTTGTCCACCAGTGGGACTCCTGGGGGCCAGTCCCTCTCTTCCAGACACAGTGGATGTATCTTGTCTCCCTCTTCCTCCAGCTGCACCCGCAGATTGCTCATCACCCACTCAGAGACGTGTGGGTCTTTTGTGTCATATGTCACAAAGACATCATAAATAGTATCTGGCGAGTTCAAGGATCTGTACCCTTTCAGCTTAGCTTTCATATAGTGTAGGACATAGGAAGCATCCCAGTAAAATAAGTGAGCAACTGTTGAAACAACCATGAAAAGAATAATGATAGAAGTTGTTAGAGTGTAGATCTGAAATGCCTGACTGGGATTTATACACTGATGAATGCTAAAATGTATCAATCCTTGTCCCTTTAAGTTCACTGGTGTGTTACAATTCACCTGAGTGGTGAGTCTTGGGATCTTTACATCACTCTGTTCAATCCACAAGACGAAGTCTAACAAATCACAAGTACACTCGAATGGATTTCCTTGTAGGAACAGAGTCAGGTTTGCAGGTCCTGATTTGAAGGTAGTTTCATTGACAATAGTCAATTTGTTGTTACTCAGGCTTAGAGTCGTGAGGCTTTTTAGACTCTTTAAAAAACAATTGTCTGCATGGAAAATGTGATTATGACTCAGGTCAAGGAAAGTCAAAGTTTGTGTGATGTTTGAGTTAATAGTTGTTAAAGTAGACAGAGAATTGTAACTTAGGTCCAAAATTTGAAGTTGATGGAAAGGCAGTTTGTCCCAATTAACATCACTGAGGCAGTTATGACTTATGCGCAGTGTGGTGAGGTTATGTGGCAAATATTCATAAACATCATCTGGAATCTTTGCAATGCCATTAAAGGATATATCTAAAACTGTCAAATTAGAGAGATTAGTGAAAAGTTTCTTGTATGAGCTATCCCTGTCTTTCCAAAGTTTCCCTAGATGATTTTGTGCAAATATAAGTTCTGCTAATGATTTGCTATACATCTCTTTTGTTGTCAGTGTGGAAATCTCATTATGACTCATATTAAGGACTCTTAGCACAGGTAGATTTTGTGTAAAATTTAAATTGAGCGTTACCCCAAATGCTTTAAAGTAGTGTGAATTGTAACTGAGGTCTAGTACTTGTAATTTCTTTAGTTCTTTGAAGGCGTTGTTATAGGCCAGATCAACCCTATTGAAGGATAAGTCCAGATATGTCAGATTAGGCAACATCTTGAACTCTGTGCCATTAAGTGCCTGTGAAAATCCATTTCTGGAGAGGTTCAGACATGAAATATTTCCATAGCCCACAAACTGCTTTGGAGAAATGAAGAACAGATTATTTGAGCTGAGGATGAGCACTCGTCCAGAATTGGCGCATTCTTGCTTTGTATTCCTGTGTAGTACTTCATAAATTGAGTCTTTTGGAGTGAGTTTTACGAATGGTGACATAGAAACTTCTGAATTCTCATTATTTCTGTCTCTTAGAGTTGGTAGACTTTCTACTGTAGTGGGATATAACCTGTTTTCTCCGAGATATATCATTCTTAAGTGGGAAAGCTTGCTGAACACGGTAGGGTCAGAGTGAATAATGAAGTTAGTGCTTAAGTACAAATGAGACAGATTTTTCAGATTGTACAGAGGCGTGAGTGTGTCTGGTCCAATACTTTGGAATACCAAAGCATTCAAATGCAAACTTTTCAGTGACCTGAGCTGTGAAAAGTCTTTTGAAAGTGTTAATTTTTCTAGGTACATACCAACAGCATAATTGAAAGACAGGTCAAGTTTTTCTAGCATGTGAAGATAACTGAAAGCTTTAACCGATGTGTCCTCACCAGTTACAGCTTTTTGTAAAAAGTTAAATTCCAGAAACAATTGTGTAAGATTCGTTAGCGTTTGAAACCAAGAGGGATCAAGGTAATTTAGTGAGTTTCCTCCCAGGTTTAGTGTCTCTAGCTGTGTCAGTCTTTGAAATGCATCAGGATGTATGTCAATAGAACCGTTAGGGCAAGGAACACAAGGGTACGGAGCATTGTGACATCTTGGACAGTTGCCTTGTATATCAAGGAATTTGACATTTTCTAACCCTTGAAAATCACCTTTATATATGTTCTCTATTTTGTTGGTATCCAGACGTAAGATTGTAATTGACTGGGGTAGTCCTTTAGGAACATGGGTTAAGTTGTTATAAGACAAGTCCAGGTATTTCAGTTTTTTCAGTAGTGCAAAAGTGTTTTCGCTGATAGCGACAGACTTCCCACAAGGGTTGCGGAAGTAGCAGTTTTTAGATAACAACAGCATTTTCATGTTTTGCAAGCCAATAAAGCTATTGTTCAGTTCATCCATATTAACTTTGTTAATGTTTAGGTCAAGTTTTTCCACACTGTGGGGGAGATTGCGTGGAATTTCAGTCAGACAGTTGCCGCTCAGTCGTAGTTGCTTCAGTTTTGTCAGATTTTTGAAAGCATTTTCAGCGATCTTCAGTGCTCGGCATCCATAATCAGTCTTGGTGTTGTTTGCCCAGTTGAGATTCAGATGTGCCAGATTCAGCAGATTAGAGAGTGAATCAGCTTTAATACTCCTAATGACATTTTCTGACAAGTCTAGATCCGTGGCATTAGTAGTTATACCTTTTGGTACTTCCTCTAGATGGCGGCCTTTACAGTCAAATTTGACCGTATTTGAAGTTTTGTTGGATATGACATCACAAGGAAACTGCCGTGTCATCCAGAAGGGTTTATGTGCAGCCAGCTGGACCTCATCATGGCAACACAGACAGAACAACAGCATCCAGCATTTGGTAATCTGTGAAAAATTGATGAAATCAGTTAACTGAAATAATTTAAAGCTTTTGTTTTTGGTCATATTATTTGGACTGACCCTGAATCAGTTAAGCTACTCCAGGACCCCTCGTGCCATACTAGCGCTTCTCCTTGATTACATTGTTTTCACTTCCCATTTATTTATTAGCCTTGCATTTCTGCATGCATAAAGTTTGTCTCTACTCTTTCTCAGTATTTTCTCTTGTCCTGTTTGTTGTTTTGTGGCCTCTCCATATTTCTCCCTTCCATTCAGCCCTCAAGCAGTACAGTAGCAGCAAATGGCTGCTGCTTCTTTAGCCTAGTTTACCCTCCCTCCTTTACCTAGTCCTTGGTCATAGAGTCTTGTCTGCTTGTTTGGGTTCTTGCTCTAATTTTGTTGAGTTTGTGCCTTTCTAAATTACTTCAAGGTTCAGACTAATATTTTGATCTGTGAGCCCCAGATTATACACTCACTGCAGCAAAAGATGTTCTTGGCCCAATTAGACTGTAAGTCATGACATCCAAGAACTACAGAGATGTTTTGAGAGAAAACATATTGATAAGATAAAATAAGATGCCTATTATATATTATAGTATTTGTTTGAAATAAAATATGAAGCCGACTCGCATTCCACATTCATTATATGCAGTTTATTTTTAATTGTTATTTATTTAACTGTGATAAAAGGCATTTCTTTTTTGGCTCATGATGATTTGGAGATCTGGATGGCCAAAAGAAAACAACAACTCATTTGTTTGAATGCTTGCTGTTGGGCAGTTTTAAAGCTGTTCAAGTGCAAACAGGTTTAATCACAAAAAATACAGTGGAATAAAAGATTTGTGGATATATACTGTAAGTGAATGAGGCCCATTGATGTTACAAAGTAAGCTTGAAGAAAATTGTATGTAAGTATGGCATCACTTCTACCCAGCAGGTGCCAATAAATCGTAAATCAAATTGTACCTGGAAAGACTGTTCCTGTTTTTTGTCACACTTGGGAAAAATTTTAAATATCAAAATTACTGAACAGTTTGTGTAATTTTTGACTAATTTTTAATGTACATTTTAATGTAATTGTCCAACAAATACCAAATACCAAAAAAACCCAAATACCAAAGGCCATTTCCAAAGTAAATAAAGTCAACTATACATGTTTTTAGAATCAAATAAATCTATGAAACATTTTGTCACCAAAATCCTGAAACTAGAAAAATAATCAAAAATAATACAGATAAAAGAAACTATAGCATATAAAGGTAATCAGAAATTTAATAAAATGTAAAAATGTAAGTAAATATAAAGAACAGAAACAAAATAAAACTCACCATTTTTTCTCCACTATATTGATCCCTGAATGACAATTTGGAAAATTATGCTAGTGTGCTTCAATTTTTTTTTCAATTGTAAGACTTGAAAGTTTCTTGTCTTTTATTAATGATTTCGTTACAGATGACCCTGTTTGTTCCCTTCAAGACAAATAAAAAAGAAACACGCTGTTAAAACTACATGATAAGCTGTGTGAGGGAAGTAGCCCGTTAATTGAAGAACTACATCTTTTTCATTTCCCTCCTTCAAAAATGCCAGTTTATTTGTCAGCCAAGATGAACACTGGAATGCCAGTAAACACAGCAACAGTGCATAGTGCCAGTCAGTTCTTCAGATTATGTGAAGTAATATGGAGTTTAAAAATGACATATTTCTTAGACATTAATATGACATAAGTAATATATCACCTCACACACTGATTTATTTTTGAGTGGGACACTGAATTTAGGGCTAATTTGCAAAATGCACTGTATTAAAACTGTGTCACTTGCACCGCCTTACGGACAATCTCAAAAATTTCCAAATGTGAAATAACAGATGAAAGCATGCAAGTTATATTACACATACTGTGTCGATATGGATTTTTAATAATGGACTGCAATTTAGGATCTGTCACTTTTGTACTAAATTTCTCTTTTGTTAACTGTTAAACCTGGTACTGGTGTCACTCAGCACAGATGTTTTCTAACACAGAAACCAGAGACTAGAGTATAAAATCTACATCTGCAAAATGCCACACATTTTATTTTATTTTATTTTTTTATTAATGCACTGCAGACAGATTACACAAGATTTATTATGCTTTCTCAGCAAATATAAGAAAATTAGTTTTTTATTGTTTTCTTATTAGATTCAGACAAAGAAGAAATCGTTTAAAAGAACCAAATAAGCATTGCTCTATAGAACAGTGATTTTAAAGCAGGACCATGTTATTGTCTGCAGACTAGAATTACAAATCAGTCCCAGGCAGATAAGTGATGATTATCCTTCTTCACTTAGTGGTGAAGCATTTTGAATAAGTCAATAACTCAACAACTATAAGAAAATTAGTTCTTAAAAACAGTTCAGTCAAAGAAGAAACACTTTAAAAAGACCAAACAAGAAATGATATATAAAAGCACTGGTTATATAACAAGCTCATGTTATTATCCTTCTTCATTTGGTGGTGAA